TTCCCCTTCTTAATAGCATTCTACAAATAAGAGGTGTTCTTTACTGGACCTGGTGACAGTTCAGGCTTATCAACCATTCATTAAGGTGCAGAGCACAGAGATAAGATGAGGGTCTTACTACCATTACTAGTTAATGAAAGATTTTATGTTTTGCAAGACATTTAATTCAGTTTACAAATTGGCTTCTGTTGTTAATGTGAATGAATCCTTTGTAGAGTGTTCAATTGATTTCAGGTCATTTTGCATCATCTTCCTAGATTATCAAATTGTTGGATGGAAAACGGTCTCAAACTGTAGGAATTTTAATATCCAGTTTGCACCTGGAGATGAAGGATATTCAACAAGGTAAGTGTTCCTTAGATTTAATGTATCGTGTTTGCATAGATATTTACTCATAGCCCCCTTCAGTGATTTTAATACATTACAGAATGTGCTTTGAACATAGTCCCCTTTAAGATATCCAAAGAATTCTTCTTCCAGTATATTCCAGCATATGTAAAAGTTTCACCTAAATAATCAGAATTAAATTTCGGTACAACTCCTGTACATTTTCAGTTCACGTGTCACTTTCAGTACAGTTTTTTCTCAAAACTGTTTCATATTCCTCCCTCTTCAGTTCCCTTCTTTTTCTAAAGTGAATCTTCCAATGGCAACAATTAAATTGAAGGGCTTACATATAAATTTTTTGGGCTTCAGATGTGCAGTTGTTATTTGTTGAGTGTTTACATTTTTCTTCATTAGCGGCATGAAACACACATCCCAAACTGATGCAGCTACCATGTAGGAATCAGAAAGATGGTTGCTGGAAACCATTTTTCAAAGCCATAAATATAATAAATATAAGTATAAATTCCATTACTGGTAGAAATTATCTGAGTTTTCCTATACAGCTGTAGAGAAATACAGATTTTTCAGAACACTGGGGTAATTCAGGTTCTGCTTATGTTCTGGATTTAAAATATACTGTTTAAGGATATTGTTTATTTCTTTTTCACATTAAAGAAAGGAAAATATTCACCATTTAAAACAACTGCTGGAAGAATTCAAGTTGATGTCTCCTTCTTTCTATTGTTTTCCCTCCATCACATGCAAATAGTGGGTAGGGTGTTGAGATGCTGCTGGCATTGATTATTACTAATTTCAGAAGAGCCTTTGAGCATCTAGCACTTTAAAAGCACAAAGACTTACAGATGTCTCATGGGATGGAGGGAAACAACAAAAAGAAGGAATAACTTTATTCCTGCCAGTATTGTGTGAAAGGTATCAGAATGAGATGGAAAAAACCTGCTATTTCTAAAGGTCTGAATAATTTACTGGCAGGAATTACAGCAGCATAGGGTAGAATAGCAGCTGTATTATAAAAACTGGGTATTACCCTTAAGTATCTTCAGAAATGTTTTATTGACTTCTTATTTTCCGTGCCATGATGTTCTACTAAAATAAAACATCTCTCTCTCTCTCTTTCTCTCTATCTATCAGTTGTTTGCTATACTTCTATAGCTTTAGAAATCCTCTGGCAAATTTACACCACATTTAAGAGGAAAGAGTAAGTCATATGTCTGGCTATGTATGCTCTAGCATTTTAGCTTGACTAAAGGGTACACTTTGCAATCAAATCTACCACTTGTCCTCTTTGCTGTGTTTGCATTGCAGAGCAGTGTAGAGCAGTCTCAGAGTGCACAAACATCTCTCAGAATTAAACTAAACGAGAAGATGCTCTATTGGAGCATGCCAACAGTCCCCACCTATAGCAGGTTTTTTATTTCCTAAGATCAGACAAAGGGAAAGTTAAAACTCCCTGAAATGTGTGTACTGTGAACATTGGGTCCTCCATACCAGCTGTTGCTGTTTATAAAGCCATTTCTAAAGACTCTATTTGCAGTTGTACTCATAGCTAATGTAGACCTACAAATTTAATGAAAATTAGAGTGTTGGTAGAAGAGAGACACCAAAACAAGTGCTGTCACTAAAGGAAAGTTTATAACTCATCACCCTGTGAGTGAGATATCTGAGATAGCAGATGACTGGCCTGTCACCTCATGCTGCTCAAGGCAGCAATAGAATTTGCTGCTTTTTCCTTATGGAACCAGCTAGGAGATGCAAAGGGGATTTGGGAATACTGTTACTAGAACTTTTTTTTTTAAATATATTTTACAAAGCAGGATGAGTGACTGATCAACATCTGTTTTCAGAGACTATGTTGGGAAAAAAAGCAGTTTACCAGACTTAGGGAAAATATCTCTCCTGTAGAGGGGATCTGTAGAAATGCATCCTACAATGAAGACAACAGTAGAATGATGCTTGTTTCTCTTTTTTAATTATATGTTTATCCAGTAGTGTTTTTAATTTAAATCTGTGTGCAGTCCTGCCTACCGGCAGAAAAATTCTTTGAAGACCTCTATAGTCAAAATACTGGATGAAAAAAGGTCACAATAAGCTAAGTAGCTCATGACAATACCTAACCAAAAAAGTACTTGAACATTGGCTTTTTTCCTTTCTTTTTTAACAAAGTGAAATTACAATGAGCTGCCTCTAAGAAACATGACAATTAAGCACTCATCCCTTGTTTAAGCCAATTTCCACTGCATAATTCAGTATGTGAAAGACAGGGAAAAGTTAATGATCTTTGTCAGCTTGCAGAAGAGAATGAAGAAAATTTTTTTAAAGGTATCTGATTTTATTTTAAGTTTTTCTGACCACATTTGTTCAAAAGCCATGTGCAAATTAATTTACTATGTATAGTGTGCTGGTTACTGTGTCATAAGTAGCAGTTACAGAAATACTGATCTAGAAAAACTACCCTCAAGTGATCTGCCCTATGCATACAGATGTATACAAAATTGTAGAGAAGACGAAACAAGAGCAATCTCAAGAAAGATTACACTGTTTTTTTAATATAGTGTGAGATTTCTGCATCTGTAGGATTACCTTATAAAATTCAATAGCTTCACAGAATATTCTATAGATAGTTCAGCAGTACAAAACAAGCAAGTAACTATACTATATCTGGCACCCAGATGTTTCACTTTGCATTTGATAATGAGCCAGCTGCCACACTTCAGGAAGGGAATCTCCCACACGTTTGTTTGAGAGAGTGAAGTTCATCCTTTTCAGATAAATATAAATTCTTGCTGTATCTGAGTACTCTGAGTAGCTTCCCATGAGCTACCAATATCTTTTTTCAAGAGTAAACTGGCAAAATTTTGGGGTATTCCTGATTAAAAAAAACTTTTGTTACAGAAAATGGGATGTAGATGAAAAGGTTATGCCTATGTCCAAAGGAATGATTCTCCCAAATCTCTACCTCCATAGTTCCAAAATTTTTCCACTAAAATTATGGGGCACCAGAAATTCTACTTCTTTACATTGCTGGAGTTCAGTGTCTAATACTTCCTATTTCCATCAGGATGCATTAACTGGACAGACTCTGGTGCTGGTTTATTTACTTTGGGACCAAATCTATGAGATGTGATAGATCACATCAAATGTACACTTCATAGCTTACTGCACTCTTTGTGGCAATGAAGTGCCATATTACTCCAGGCAGAACAGCTGCAGGCTTTGCTAGAATATATACCAAGGAAAGAGTAAGACTGGAGCGTGCAACACTGACAGAACTTAGCCAAATGAGGAAGGGGAGAATCTGGAGCTGATCCTTGGCATTGAGGCTATTTCTAATGTTGAAGTAGGTTTTTAAGCAATTAAAAATAAGGTATGAAGTTCTATTTATTGAATCAGAGTTACACTGGCCAACCTGTAGTAGGGCTCCTATTAAGTTTATTGTGCATTTGAAACACATTTGTGTTCACCAACAATGTAAATTGTCTATGCAGAGGCACATTAAGCTTTGAAAGTGTTAAAGAAATGTATGTGATCACACTTAGATCTCTTAGAATGGGCCTTTTTAAAAAGCCTAGATCATCCCATCTGCTTTTCTAGATTCACCTACATTGGGTTTCTTTTGGTTGCTCCTCAAACGTGGAATATATTTTTATTACAGTGTCACATTAACAATACTCTGATGGTGGGCAATGCAAAGATCATGCCACTCTGCATCAGATTAGTTTGCATGGCATTGCAGGAGGGGACCAAGTTTCTAGGAGGAAGACAGTTATAATGCTGTTGTGCAGTGTCAGTTAAACAGTTGAAAAGTGTTTGATTGATCTTCTCGAACTTTGTGATTTACCCTCCGCTGTCCACACACTGGAGTAAATTGGAAGAATGTGAAAGGACATTAACTCACCCAGACTGATGATCAGTCCAATAATAATTTGATTTTATATTATGTTTCTAATCATCCTAGGATTTCTGTGTGGTCTTCCTCTAATGAGTGGCCATGGAAGTTATATAAAGGTTGCATTCTCTTGGTGCAACTTGTGGTTTATAGCACATCTAAACTTCAGAACTGTACCGTTGTTAACCAGGAACTTGTCTTGGCATCTGAAAGACTGTGTTTTAGATTTGTAAGGCAAACTACTCGAAAGCAACCCTAATCTGCAGATTTTAGTATGCTCAGAATTTCTGAATCCCAGTTTGTGTTTTAACTATATCATGCAGCACAAATAGCTTCACAGTTCTTTATTATGTTTTGGAAATAATTCTAGATAAAGATAAATGCCTTGTAATATTTCTTACTTGCACTATGTGAAAAGAGTTTAATTAGGGTTTCAACAAATATATTTTGTAGGATGGAAGTATATATTATAGAGTTTTAAAAACTGGTGTTCCAAAATTGTGTGACTTTTCCACCTACACAAAATATTGTATGCATTTTATATATACACTCTGCATTATGCATGAAATATAGAGAAAGCTGCATGCCCATCTCAGAAGCTGGGAAACCATTTTCTTCAAGTTATTTTCTTTTTTCCGGAAAATTCATAACATATGTTTTGGTGAATCTGTCCTGGGCATCCAGCCTGATGTGGGTAGGTTAACATTAGTGCCAAAGTCTTTTGCTCATGAGTTCTTGCAGGAGTTGAGCTTGCTTAGTCAATGATGCTTCTTTGTAATGTATATTTTTAATGTTTTTTATGTTGCAAGATAGTTAAATACTGGAGAGAACCTTTAAGAAAGTTTAGAGTTTATCAATTTCTCAGAAGTAAACAAGAATGATTTCGATAATTTCAGCAGTTTTGCCACCTAGGGATTTGTATTTAAAAATAATGGTAATTTTCTAATTGACTAGATCAATCACAATTTAATTTAAATTTCCCAGTGATTAACTTCATATTCCTATGAATTAAGCTTTACTCAGCAGAATGTACTACATAAAACAATGAAGTATAATATATGTAATATATATGTAATATATATGTAATATATATACAAATAAATGTACCTTT